TAGCCTGAATAAGATTAACATCGATGTCGAAATTTGGTGCTTCGTGAACTCCTGGAAGTCAACGTCTTTTGAAACCGTGGTTTATGTTAGCACGTAGTAATACGTCACTTAGGTCATTTAGACCCGTCAGCGGTAATGGGCGACGAAAGTGCTGACCGCAACACTTCCGCCATTTTTACGGTTTTGAGCCTTCTCTCAACTCCTCCTCCGAGCGCAGCCTTCCCGGCTCCTAACGTAATCCTCCCACTGTCGTGATGGGCGACCAAGCGGTCTTGTCTGCCAGCGAGAATACAAGTATGCGCTTAATGCCGAGGATCTTCCATCCGTGATTTGAGCTACGTGTCCGGCCCGCTGTAACTTCTTCCTTCTCCTTCTCCTTCACTCCCGTCCGCTGTCTGATCACATCGCTGAGGATGTCGTCGCGACGTGAAATTCCCAATATTCTTCTTTCATGGCTTTCCCGACGGTGACAAATTACTGGCGTTGTTCAGCTTTAGCGAGCGATTCCATCTCACAGCTGCAAAGCATTGCCAAGAGGTTGGCACGTACTACTTTCCTGCTGTTGTCAAGAAAGATGTCCTTGATGGAATGGAACTCGCGCCAGCTTTCCTTCTTTCTTCTTGAATCTTTCCAATCTGATCATGCCGCATGTTGATCTCTTCCCCCAGGTAAATGTATTTATAGAATGATTAGACCTGTTCGCCATTTGATATTACCCAGTCATTCGGCAGAGTATCTGATCTAAGTGTCTTTGTCTTTAATCGACTGATTCGCAGTCCAGCTCGTGTACTGTTTTTCTAAAGCTTTCGTTGCGTATGCACTTATGTGTTCCTCAGACAGCATAACGCTATCAGCGCACCTTATGTGGCTGTACTGTTCACCATTGATGTTGATCTCACCTTTCCAGTTTATCTTCCAGAAAACCGTTTCCAAGCAGGTAATAAAGACTTTTGGATAGATGATGTTCCGCTGCTTGACGCCCTTCTCTACAGAGTTCCACTGAGGTGTGTCGAGCAGCTTGATGTTTTTGAAGTAGCAAAAGTTCTCTTCCTTTAGCAGGTTGATGTAACGGATTTGAATGCTCTGTTCTGCTGGTGCAGTCGACAGTGTCCAAGGCTTTCTTATAGTCGATAAAGGCTGTGCACGTAGCTTGCTGGTGTTTCCTCATGCGCTCCAGGAGTTTGCTGAAGGTCAAAATGTTATTTGTTGTGCTGCAGCACCTTCGGAATCCTGCCTTAGCTGGCTGTTGTTCGTCAAAACTTGTTGACGGTCTGTTGGTGATGATTTGAGTGAGCATCTTGTAGACTTGTGAGACTAGACAGATTGCATGATGATGATGTTCTACACATCCTTCTCGCCTGTCTTGAACAACACGATTGTTTTTGACTCCTTTCAGCTTGACGATATCTTTTCGGTTTCCTGGGAACAAATGAACCTTTCCGCTAGAGCCATCCACAGCGTGTGATTACTTGCTCTGATCTCCACTGTCGGACTCTGTCCCTGGAGCTCTTCCTTCCTTCATTTGCTGCTCGGCATGCCGAACTTCACTTACGAGGGTCAGGAGTGCACTTCTTTCGGGCTGTTGGAGTTATGATGCAGGGACGCGTGTCTTTTATGCAAAGAAATGGGTGTCAGAGTTCTTACGCATAGTTTGCATCTCAGCTCTGCCAGACGTTAATGCGCCATCGATGTTCTTCAACGACGTAATAATCGGCTGATAAAATGCTGATTCTGTTCTACCTTGTCTTCTGAGGAATCTGCAGTCTTCGACAGTTTTCTCTAATTTTTGTAATCAGAAGATCTCGAAATCCTTCAGCCACCGTTTAATGAGCTTGCATAAAAGAGCGTACGCCCTCGTGTTTTTCCCATTTCATTTCATTATTCGCTGCTGCAGCAAACTCTGTTTCCTCTGAGATCCTTCCCTTCGCTCTCTTTGATCTTACTACCTCGGCGGACTCTGCGCAGCGCCTCAGTTTCTCAGCGATTATACCGTAGTCGTCGTTACAGTTGCCTTTTAGGATCCTATTTTCACCGGAAATACATGCTTTGAACACCGCCTCATCAAATACCGTCGGTTGTTGTCATCTGATTCGCCGTCTGCAGTGCCTTCTTCTCGACCTCGCGGGTTAGAATAATAGGTAGATAGGAAAACTTCATACGCAGTAGCGACATGAATAATAAGTAATATGTAATAATATGACAAATAATACCACGTAAGATCAGAATAAGTTATTTCATATTTTCGTACGGGCGAATTGCTGTTCAGTGCTTAAATTTAAGGCCACTGGGCGGCAGTTTCTCATACGTTATGTACTTCAGCAGAATCACTACTTAGTTAGCAGAGCTTACATTCGGTGGTAAGATGGAATATCGTGTGATTATTTGTTCGACACTCGCATCTGAGCGGGTCGTGAAAGCTCCATTTTCGCGTATGATACGCACATATGGGGTCTTGTATTGGTTGTTTGCTTGATTATTGTTTTCTGTTATGTTCTATATCTTCCGCGATGGATATGGATTGGCTCAACGAAACGCTCCAGAATAGTTTTTTTGGTTTCATCCGCTATTGTCGTGGTGCCACGTTCAGGTTGTCGTAAAGCTGTCGTCGAGGTTCGCCTACTGTTTTTGAAGATTTCTTGAGCATTCATGGTTTGCTTTCGAGTTTGCGGATACGAATGCTAGGTACGACAGGAAATTAAGGTAACGGAGTGGACTTGGCTGTCTCGATAATTGTCCGTCGAGGAGCTACTGAAAACCGTGGTACACTGCGATGTGCAGGTCGACATTTTCGGCTTCAGAAACTCTCCCTAAATTTCGATAGTAAAGGTAATTTGCTTCGATGTTTAGCATTAGCGACTTGTTGGAACTTGGCGACAAACCGTTATGCCAAGCAAGCCCGCCTCCTTTGATCCGCTGCCCGTTTTGAATGACACAAATGTTCAAAAGGATTCATAGAGGTTCGTGGTGGGGCCGACCAAATCAGCAGATAAGTATTGTTTCATGTGTTTCCTAAATGAAAGAAAACGGCGCTGATTGTAAAGCAGAATCTGGCTACCAACTGGGTATTATTGCAA